TACAGTTCAATTATGACTTGGCGAAGCTACGACGAGCCTACAAGTTGTACCCATGTTTACAAGTTCATTGTAATCACGAAAGCCATACTGGGCAATGAAGGGGGCAGTCGGCGTGTTCATGACGAAACTTTTTTGAGCACGGCTGTACCCGACAAACGAAAAATGAGACTACGCTCTGAAAAATAAAGGGGGGAAGAGGGGAACTGAGGTCGCTCACTTGGGGAAGTAACTAAACTGCCGCAGCCTTTCATCCTTTTTTTTATTGGGGAGTAACTGCGAAGCATCGAGCGGTTACTCCCCGTCTTGGTTACTCCTTAATAGTTGCTCCTTCACAGTAACTCCTTCACGGTAACTGTTGCTTCCTTGAGGAGCAACAGTTACTTTTTTACGCAAGAAAAAAAACTGTTCTTGGTGGACTTAACGTGCATTTCGAGGTTTGTAGAAGCATGTGATGAAATGTACAATCGATAGACAGGCATCACACTCAGAAGTAAACGTAGGAAAATATAGAGGAAACCCACTGGACTAGAATTCACAGATATAGTGAGCCCACTAGCGTGCCTATTAACCACCACACTCTACGGCATATTGCGGCACTGTCTGCAAGTGGTTATGTAAACACCGATGGGTCGTTAGCACTTGGCGCGTGCACTTACTCCGAAAAAGGGCGCTTCACTCCCGAAAGAGATGAAAGCGTCCTTATTGCCGTGGTGTGTGCAAACCACTGCCCACAGTTCGTCACTTGTGGGAGCAAAGGGCCCTTTCAGGTTTACTGTGCAGTTACTCACGAAAACTTTTTAGAGTGTACAAGCAGTACACGCCGTACTCTGATAGCGGTGAACTGAGTGGCGAAAGGATTTATTTTATTCTTGGCGTGTCTACGTTCATTGAACTTTTACGAAACTCTAGCTACGAGTGTGTAAGCGGCCGTCGTAAAATAAATACAGCTTAGGAACGTAAAGTGTGCGGCCAGGATAATACACGCCGGGCATTTGCAATCGTGTTGTGGCAGCAGAGTTATTGTGTTCGTGTTCCCCTGCATGGGCTTTGCCCCGTCACACGTGAAGGCCGCAGCGGGACTTGCTCGTAATTCTCGTCACTCGCGCGTCGATTAAGTGCGCGGGGAGTGTCCCTGGGAGCAGCCGCTGAAAGTCGAGAAGAATGCCGAGGCCGTCGTTCGCAGATTGTATTGTCAGGCATGTGCGGATACAATTTGGCTTTCTGGTTGCTCGGCCTGATCGTCGCATTCCGGGGGCAGCACCTGTGCTTCGGGTCAGCTGCCACTACGAGAATAAAATAAAAAGAAAAGAAATGCACTCCGATCGCGGAAAAAAATGTTTTTTTTTTCCTCCTTCGTGTTCTGGAACTCTATATAACACGATGTTGTGCTCACAGAGTTGTCAGACAGCTTGTGCCTATCAGACGCAAGCTTTAGCGCCATATGTGAATTTTGTGGGCGCTATAAAATAATTCCCCACCCTGGCTAAGCTGATTAGTTTCGAGATGATCGATATGCTTCCTTCACTGAGAAGACGAATAATTCCCACGCAGGCTTTGGCAAAGCAGACACCTCAACTCCTTTTTCAATGCATTTGGCGTTCAGAATTTGCAGCCATCACCACCGAGCACGTGCGGGCCAACTTTTCTGGGGCAGAGAATACCACCGAACCACCGCATTTTGCCGCCACCTTCATTAGCCGGAGGGAGAAGCGATGGATGAATGGCAAGGCCTCGCACTTGGCTTGTGCACATAACCTCGAACGAGCACCCCTTTCAGTTCTTGCCTCCTTTAGAAGGGCTTCAGTCACAGAACTGATGACTTCCTTGGGTAAAACCCGCCCCCTCGAGGCGGTCTACTTGGCGTTGCAAATTTTGCCCGAACAAGGTGTTCGCATGACTTTGCGAGACCCGCCCTGACGCGGTGATTAGTTTAGGATGGGCCGAATCGTACCTAAGCATTTCCCTTCTTTGCGCGTGTTTCGTAGCTCAGCCAGCTCAAAACGCACATCGAGCAATCGTATAATCTCCCCTTCCTTGCGAGATAGCTGTCGTGTATGAGATGTGCCAGAAACAGGGCCCTGTCTTAATGGCACGTTGCGAGAACACCAGTCGGCTGTTAACGCGCACAGACATCCGGGGGTCATTTGGCGGATCATTGCCGTAGGTAGTGTTGTGATTCTGATTTCGCCAATACACGTGCGCCTATAAAAAGGCAAGGATCAGGCAACGCGAAAAATTATACAAGTGTTCGCTATGAGCGAGAATGGAATAAAAAATGTGCCGGTGTTACGTCGGTTGCTTTAAACAACAAAGAGATTGAGTATTTGAAAGTAAATCTTGCGCAAGCAGGGTGGCAACACGTCAAGTTCCAAACATAATAAATCACCTTAGAGTGTGATCGTGCTCATGATTTGTGACATTGTATTGAAAAATCAGTTGATGCTTAGCGCCCGTCCTGCTCATAGGTTCATTCTGTGTATCCGTCTTTTTTTTTTTTTACGCTACGAATATGTGGCCGAAACCAGCTAGCCCGCATCACCGCCTTGACTGCATTTTTCTTAATTCAGATCAGATCACCGCGGCCAACTGTTCTCGTACCATGAGCATTAAAACACAATAAATAGCTTCTCCAGTTCTTTAATCTTTCCAATGGCCGGAAGCAGGCGTGCTTGTGCCATTTTTGCGAAATTCTCAGAAATGTTAAGCTGAAACGTTTCTCGCTTCCTTTGTAGTGTTATGTTTCACCTCGCGCCGACCATAACATCGAAATTCACCTGCTCTTCTGCTATACCAACCTGTAGTTCCACTCCTACATGCGGAAGACTTTATCGCAATGTAATCACATCCACATCCCCACCAACGCTGATAATACAGCATAAAAACTGCCATTTTGAACGCAAGTGACCACTCTGTTCCATAACTTAGTAATTACACTTCATGTAAACATAAAAATAAAATAAATAAGCCTTTATTCCTTGTTCTGTCATTTCAATATGTCGAATTCACGATTAGCAAAGCCATAGGGCGGCTTTTCGATGTGTTCATATAGCATTGCTTAAAATAGTCTGCCTTAATATATACATATGATGCACAACTGCCATAACTGGCATACAGTTTTTATGTTACAGAAGGCGATTCACTATGTCAAAAATATACATCATTCTTCAAGCACTGAAGAAGCGATCTCAAGGTGTAACAATATTTGAATTATTAGCATCTAGTGATCATATATATATATATATATATATATATATATATATATATATATATATATATATATATATATATATATATATATATGTGTGTGTGTGTGTGTGTGTGTGTGTGTGTGTGTGTGTGTGTGTGTGTAATCCATATTTTTTTTAATTTGCAAGGAACCGAGAACAACAATCACCGTATCATCGATCATCGTATCAATGCGATAACAAGAAATACTGAGTTCTAAGGTCACTTGTATACTCCATAACACTCTATCAGTTTATAATACATAACACACCATTCCCATTGAAGAAAAGCTAAAATGTCGAGCATTTCGACAGAAAAGAGAGTCGGCTCATACATCATTTATTTGGAATGTATTTGATGAGATTTTTTTTGTCTTATGTATAGTTATGAACTTACACTGTTAAACCTGTTTTCTTGCAAATTTATTCATCTTTTAGGTTTCGGTCTCATGCTGCGTATACTATATCGTGTTAAACTGTTACGTACACCTAGCACTACTAGAGTACCGCTGAATAAAACTCATTGCGATAAAATGTCTTCAACTTTGACAACTTGCACGTGTGATACAAAAATGTGCCTATTTCGGCATATTTGTTTTCTGTATTTCTCTTTTTCTCATTTCAGTAGTTTCTTTCCTGTTGGTAACTTAATTTCAGCGATGAATTATGACGTGTACAAAACGGCTTCATGTTGGTATACCTTCTCGGATATTTGAGTCCGCCCCTTTTAGCCCACTATTATTAACTAGCGTCTACACGGATAAATAAAATTCGACTTCTTTTATTTTATAGTGCAGAAGCAATGACTCCCACAGAAGTGTGGAGGACGTTGTTGTGCCGGTAGGAAGGTCCGTTTGTGTAAGTTAAATTTCTAAGAAAGAGGCGTCCTTCGAGCATCAGACTTAAAAGAAATTTGAACTGGTACAAAAAAGCAAGGATACTACAGAGGGTGACATCACGAATTCTACACTAACACTTTTAAACGTATAATCTGGAAACAACATATAATCTAATGTATATCAGGGATGGTTAGTCATTACAGGGGCAACTATATGGGCTATTGTGACTGATATCAGGTCAGTTAGCTTGAGTCAGATAAAATAGGTGGTTGTCGTGATTCGCGCCCTTAGCCTTGCTCTTGAAATATGGTCGAGGTCACGGGGTGAAAACAGGACGGAAAAATTAGATTTGACGCAGTGTGTGTGGGTTTTGTGTATATTATAATTCTGCTCACGACGCACGATAAGAAACAATTGAAGCAATTTACGCTGCGCACTCGGCGCACAGACTCTCTCTGTCATGTGGAGCACTCAACCTCGGCGGCGTTGTTTACCATGGGTAACTTTCTGTTTCGCGAAAGGGAGAGTCAGCGTTCCGTGAGCAAGAGCGGGGCAAAGGTGGCCTCGGTGTGCGACAAGCGCCCGTTGTGTCGCCCTCTTTCCTGTCTCCTCAAACCGCATACCAGCTCGCGCACCTGCTCTAAAGTGCCAAAATAACACGTGCGCTGCAAAAGCCAGTAACCGCCATTCGACTGCGACGTCGAGAATGGGTGCGTATCCCGCACACAGCCAACAAACGCGTTCTCTAGAGACAGCAACTTCGTCGCTTCCGCCAGCGTGCGTGCGCGCGCGCTTTTCCACGGCTGTGGAGGGGTGTAGAGTCGCGATGGGGGGACCGAACTCATTGTTATGTAACGCGCGTTCCAGCTGGTCGCACATTTTCCCCCGGCGCGCCACTTTTGCCCCGTCTCCATTTCCTTTCTGGCTCTCACCGCAGGAGCAGCCGCATACCCGGCGGACGACGGTGGGACCGTGAGAGAAGATGGCTCGCAGCCGCCACCGCCGCCACCAGCGCCGATAAGGAATCTGGAGCACACACACGCCGCCGCTGGAGGCCCCGAGGGAACGCTGCGCCAGCGAGCGGCTGTCCACCGCCGCGGCGGAAAAGCTACGCCTTGCTTGTTGACAGTGCGGCCGCGCCAGTGACCAGTGCAACGTGCCCGGCTTGTGTTCATAAACCAGGCCCCGACTAGGTGTGTGTGTCTTCGACGATAGCGCCTGAGAAGCAGGGCGCGTTTTGTGTTTCGTGCGCGGTGTGAGTGTATTCCCAGTGTCTGCGATGTCAGCAGTGCCCCAGACGCGCGACGTGGCCATGTTTGAGCTGGGTCTTAGGGACTACGGCTCCAGCTGGACGCGACTTCAGGAGGCCCTTCGAGTGCAGCAGCAGTTGTACGGACCCGCGAGGCAGGAGGAAGTGCCGCAGCCGAGTCCGCCTGCCTGCTCCGACGAGGGAAGCGTGGAGAAGACTGCTTCTAAGGGAAAGTCCAGGGCTGGACTGATCGGGCTCATAACTAGAAAGAAGGACGGCAAGAAGAAAGATAAAAGGTCGTCCAAGTCACCCGAAAGGAAGGCTAAGGAACCTTTATCGGAAGATGACGTTGTGGCAAAGCCCGAGTCTTTGACAGAAGGCTCGTCCCTGAAAAGACCCGTTCGCAAAGAAACGCCAAAGTCGTTCGTCCGGACACCGTCCACCGAGAAAGGAGTTGATGTTCCTGACGCGACAATGGGCAAGTCTCAGAGCCCAAAGTCCTTCTCTGGCATGTCTGAAACTTTTGACTCTGACGAGAAGCTGTCGATGGAGGACTTTCGTAGCAACGGTGATGCGGGCAGCCCCGCGGATGAATTTCTGGTCAATGGGAACAGGCGACAGGAGTCCCCGCCGGAAAGAGAGCCTCGGGGACCCAAAAACATGCATGTTGAAGACGACCACGGCGGTCAGCGAAAAAGCGCGCGAGCGCCCGTCAAGACCCCCAGGGGAAACAAAGCGGCAAGCCCGCCTCGAGAACGAGATGAGGTCGTCTACAGAAAGCCTCGTCAGCGGTCCTTCCGGGAAGACTTCTTCGGCGAGAATGGGCACGACGATTTCAGCCTTCGTGAGCCTCAGCGTCGACCGAATGATCCTCAACACAGACAACGATCGTCGAGACAGCAGTATAGCTTGAGTGATCCACCTTCCAGCGTCAACAACGGTGATCCTTTGGCGGAGCAGTCATTGAGCAAGCCTATGGACGAACTTGAGCCGATTCGCCCATCAAGGGAGGTTGAGCGTGTAACGTACAGACGGGAAGTGGTTGAGCAGCCCAGAGGACAGTCACATTTTAGACCAGCTGTTGACGTAGAGCCGCACCGTTCTTCCAGAGACGGCGATAGAACCAGCTACCGACGCGAAGAAGGTGAGCCTCGCCGAGGGCACTCCCTGACGAGACCGAAGTCCGACATCGAACCTCGTCGTCCATCCAGAGAGGCTGAACGGGCGAAACACTCCTTTACGAGGCCCAATTCCGACATCGAGCCGCATCTTCCAACCAGAGAGGCTGAACGGTCCAGTTATCGTCATGACCAGAGAGACGTCGTGAGAGGACACTCGTTAACGCGGAACGATACCGAAGTCCAGCGGTCGTCTAGGGACGCTGAAAAAGTGGGTTACCACCGTGAGGACCACGAAGCGCACTTAGACCGCTTGGTCACCAGGCAGGCCGGTACAGGTGATGTCGAACCCCTTCGCCCGGCGAGGGAAGCCGACCGCGGTAATCACCACCGGGAACCACACGGACAAGCACCGAGAGGTCATTCGCTAACGAGGCCCACCGCTGAGACCGAGCCGCACCGCCCGCCGCGAGAGGCCGACCGCGCAGGTCCCACGCACCGTCGGGAGCTGTCCCCTTACCAGCATGAAGTGGACGACTACAACGATCGCCGTTCGAGGCGCCATGACTACGCGGAAGCGCGCACCAGGGGAGACGAATCGCACCCTCGCGGACGCGACTACAGTCCAATGGAGAGGCGTCCCAACGGCCGCCTTGAGTCTTTCAAAAACCGACCTCAGACTGATAGAGAGCCGCGCGTGTCAAACAGGGCTGACAGGCTATCGCACGTGTTCAGGGAGGACACGGCAGAGAGGAACAAGGATCACGACGAGTGGAGTGACAGGGACGGCCGTCAACAGCAGCTTCCGCCGCAGCAGCAACGCCGGGACGGCCGTGCCGACCAGGAGCCCAGAAGCCCACCTCACACCCAGCAGCAGCACCAGCCGGTGCAGGCCACCGACAGCAGCGTGCGGCCGCTGGGCTGCACTCGCTGCGGCGATCGCGTCTATCCCAAGGAGATGGTGACGCCCAAGCCGGGCGTGCTCCTGCACAGCGGCTGCTTCAAGTGCCGAGAGTGCGGAGTCAAGCTGACGCTGCAGACGTTCTTCACGAACCAGCGGGACACGCGGGACATGGACGTCTACTGCCGCACCCACGTGCCCCGCCTGGGTCCTGGAACCGTGGATGGCAACGCCCTCAACATCCTGACCAGCAAGAACAGCCGAGAGATCAAGTTCAGCCGGTACCCCAAGGTGAGCGGCCTGTCTTTTGCCCTGCAGACATTTGTTGCACATGATCGGTGAGTGGAGAATAATTGAGGTCAGTTGCCGCAATACCTACTGAGAACATACACGTCCCAAGGCAGCACTTCGATTTTGAATAGGCTGAACTCTGCTCGGAACACTTCGCTGACTCATCGTAACGCTTTGTGAAGAAATATGCGAGGCTCGGGCTCCATTATTATTGCTGATGCCATAAGTCTTTCGTTGTCATTTTCCTAATTTTGCGGGCCACGCCTGTACGTGCCAGGCTTTGCGCAGTTATTGAGGCGCAGTGATTCGAAACAAGAAACGTAAAGATGTGTTCACTAAGGGACTTTTGTGCTGAATGACTTCCGCGCAAGCGTAGCAATTCCATCTTGGTGGAGAAGTTAATTACAGAAAACATGAAGAGCCACATCGGGAATATCGCTAGCTATAGTGACAGGTCAGACCAACCTTTTGCAATGCCGCAGCTCGCAAATGAGAGTTCAATGTTGTATGTATGGTACAATGCCAAAAAAAAGTAAGGACGGTTCAAAGGAATATGTATGGATTATTATCAGGTGGAACTTGAAGCTATTCGCTTGGTAATAGAACTTAGCTCCTAGAAGCTCCCACATCAATTTAAGTCAATGAACCGTGCGCAGTGAGCAGCTGCGTGGCTCACTAGAGTCTCAGCAAACACGTCGGACGGCTTTCGGCTAATTCCTCTTGCGATTTATGCTGCATCAAAAATTACTCTGTTAGAGCCAGTATGTTTCATACTTGGCAAATTGGAAAAAGCGAATAATAAAAAGTAACATTTCTGGGCATTTATATGTTAGCTCGTGGTTCCCTTCCTCAAATTATAATGAAATTATATTGTCGCTGACAACCACCCTGGAATGTCGCATGGGAAGTCATCAAGAATCAAGGCAGTCAAGAAATTGCTGAACGGACTTGCACGACTGGCTGTTAAATAAACACATTTCCTGCTCTTTCGAGTCACACTCTGCAGTACTCGCACCAGCTCAGCATGGTTTTAGGCGTGGATTTTTCACAGCAAACCAATTGGTTGAAATTGTCCATGACTTCACCCTAGCTATAAATAACCAGTCTCAGATAGATGCTGTCTTTTTAGACTTCGCCGAGGCGTTCGACAAAATCTGTAATTCCAAACTATTTATGAAACTTTGGAAAGTATTAAAAAACCCGCAAATTTGCCATTGAATACAAGCACACCTGACTTCTAGAAAACAGTATGTTGTTTTAATGAACACTTTTCGGAAAAGCTGCCTGTCGATTCGGGTGTTCCCCAGGGATCAGTCTTGGGGCCGTTACTGTTTCTTCTTTTTATAAATGTCATTGTGAATTACTGTTGTGTAAAAATTATACTATATTCCGACGATCGTGTTTTCTATGGTGAGATAAACGCAACTTATGATCAAAATTCATTGAATTTTGAATTAGATAAAGTGGTGCGTTGGTGCAAGATATGGCAGATGGCTGTGAATTACGACAAATATGCTGTAATGACCGTGAGTAAAAAAAATCCTCTCTTATATACATATACAGTAGATCACAAATCATTAAATCGTGTCAATAAGTACAAAGATCTTCTTCTCGTTATAACAGATCACATTCACTGGGATAGTCCTTTCATTGCTGTTTCTAATAAGGCATTGTCTAAACATCATTGTTTAAGGAGGTCTCTCAAGGGTGCATCTACCATTTGTAAACTCGCCACTTTTAAAACTTTAATACAGCCGATTTTAGAATATGCAAATGTTATTTGGGACGCGTTTACACAGACAAACACACTTAGGTTGGAAAGAGTTCAGAGTAAGGCTGTACGATTCACATTTATTAGTTACGGTCCCTCATCTATTACTCAGTTACTTCACCAAGCATACTTGAAGCGTATAACGGATGGAAAGAGAATTTCTCGCCTCAAGTTCCTGTTTAAAATCGTCAGGGCAAGCTAGAAAGCCGAACATGCGACTATATTTCATTTTCGAGAGGTTGCTCCACAAGGCAACGCCACCTCTAGTTATTTGCCATTTAAATCGAAGAATAATATTTACAATATTCTTTTTTCCCGGCACTGTGAGTGAGATGAATAAACTCGATAAAGACGCGCACACACACATGTGTATATATATATATATATATAGCCGCTAACGTGGTAGCGCACGCGTGGCTCAGGGCATTGTTGCGTAACTGTGTCTCTCAAACTTCCTGCATTCTCCGTCAATCACTGCTGCTGCTGATGATGATGATGATGATGATGATGATGATGACGAGGATGACGATGATGACATATATACATGGCTCACATTCACTCGGGGTGAATGGCCAAGAAACTAATAATAAGTGATCACACATACATTGTAGATATGAGTTATTGAATGGTTAGAAGAAATTATTGACACTAATTTATGAACCCTCGCTGCATATACATGTACTGTGGCTCATGCTTCATGTTTTCATGAGCATAGCGGGTTTGAAGAGGGACGCTAAAGAGAAAATCTATTTTTCCCGTATTAGTAAAGTGCAATTTCACAGTCCCGAAAACACCACTCTTACGACGAGACGATGCTTGGCAAGCTAGAAAACGCGCAAAAAGAAAATGTGGGCAGAGATGCCACCTTGAGATTTCCGCACCAGACACCGTGACGTCATGCACTTGGACGGCGTCTCCTAAGCCCTACGTAATTTCTAATCGGTAAAAATGAAATACGGGATCGCGTGCCCGAAGCCATCGACGTGCCATCTAGCTAGGAGACGCATGCTGTGGTGCGCATGCACTAGTTTAATTACAATTAATTATATTGAGACCAGTTTGATGATGGCCAACCATGGTCAACCACGCTTAGTCAGATTTTTCTACGCATTCTCGGTGCTGCCTCATCAGCATAGTTATACAATAATTAGGCTAATTACGGCACGCCAAACTGCAGTATCCTTTTGTGTGGGATCAGATATCAAAATAATTAATCAGTAATAGCTTGTGCGCGTCCTATTTCACACTATTTAGATATAAATGAGCTTACTTGTTATAGTTTCAGTAAGGAGTAATTAGTGCCTTACAGGGTTTGGCACCTCTAGGCCCATGAAAAAGTCAACTTGAATTCCTTTCGCCGCTATAAGGTTTGCCTTAGTTGGGCTAATATTGCTCGGCTAAAGTAAATGTTGCATGGTTAATTATGCTCAATTGGATTTGGCTGTACATCTTGTCTATTTTTGTCTACCCATCTGGGCGCATCAAAGCCCTTCTACGCTCAACATGACAACAGCAAGCTGGACTAGACTAATTGAAGTTTAATTACGCCCGAATATATTAGAGGATACCACGCTCAACCTGGCTAGATTCGATTCGACTACACTTACATTCACTTAACTAGTCTCATTTAAGTTCAACTTGGCCTAATGCTACAAAGACAAGCTCCGCTAAGAAAACTTAATTTTGTGTGCTTGACTTCGTCGGGTTTTTCGAGGCTGGCTACGTTTAGTTATGCTCATCAACCGGTTATAAATAACGATGCGGGTTTGCCGCTGCGTAAAAAAAAAGAAATAGTGAAGCAGGCACGTATTTGCTTGAGCAGAAACAGTGACACCCAGTGGTCTCTTTGGCTACTAGCTCATCGGAGAGAGCGACATGACAGGCCAACTTAATACGATGAGACGCGCATGCGCACCGCATCAGGCGACTGACTCCTCGCTAGATGGCTCGTCGATGCCTTCGGCCACGCGATTCCATGGTCATCACACATATGCTCACGCCTGTACATTGTCGTCTGTAGGGTTCATAGAGCTGTCATGCAAAGTTTCAGAAAATTTCATCGAGCCCATGCCGAGAAAATACAAATATACATTTCCAAATTCGTGACATCATGTACGTAGAGTATGGCGCAAAATTTGAAAATGAAACTTTAACCTTGATTTTCTCCGTTAATAATGAACTGATAATAGTGAAACGTACAGCGTTAGAGTCCTCAGAGGTCAATATAAACCATGTCATCGTTTCACTTTAGTGTCCCCTTGACATTTTAACGTGATAGCGGTGAAGAGCTCGTTTCGCAGATATTCCGCTGTCGGCTTCAGCGTTGCTGTCAACGTTGTTTGTTGTGAGCGAAAAATCGTCTTGTCCATCAACTAAAAAAAATAGAGATAGGTGTAAATAAAGTAAGAAATAAAGGGCTTCGCTTCGAGTGAAACTAGAACCCAAAATGACGACGTTCCAACAGATAGCCTTGCTATTGCTTCAAACTCCTACGGAATGAGTGTACGACGAACGCGATCTTCACGTCACGAAGTGTGTAAAATATGTCTGTCGCGTAAATCATGTGATCCTTTGACCCAGTCACGCGTGGCACATATCCGCATGCCACGGCCCGTGTCGTACCAGCACAGGTGAAACACAAGAACAGTGCTAATAGACACTGATAGTCTTACAAGACGATAAAAAATACTATTAATAACAATAAAAATTACAGCATGCCTGTGAAGTGAATTATGTAGAGTGGTGCGAAGCATCGGGGGGTTTTATCGGTAAACCGTGAATCCGTCCGTCCATCCGTCATTCACACTAGCGCCACCTGCTGAGTCATCCATAAACTAGGCGGTCACGAACCGGTCGCAGTAGAAGGGCAAACCCACGGCTTTAGGAGCTTCGCCCCTAATAATAACCGTGGTTTCACGAAAATATGATCTTGAAGTACGCGTAGTGGGGTACTGCGGATCGATTTCGGCCACCTTGGATTCACATCAGCCACATTTAGGCACAGCTGTGTCCCTTCCATTTTTCCCCCGTCAAATCGCACCCGCCGTGGCCAGCATTTGAACCTGTGGCCCCAACTTTACCAGTGCGACGCCTCACGTTCTAAGGTATCACGGTGGGCAATTCCGTAGCGTAGTTTGGGTAGGTTCACATCTTTTGTTGTAAGTGTCAATTTAGGTGTAGCAAAAATAAAAAGCTGACACACGTTCTGAGCGGACCCTCAGCCAGTAAA